CAAAGTAGACTATCACTCACCCACACCAGATGGAAAACTCTACAGACTGTCGGTTCACACCCCATCACAAGCCAGCAAAACATCCACGAATATATGAGAATATCCATTGATTTGATCCATTTATATTATACAGAACAAATTACTTCTTGCTTAGTTAGCATTATATTTTTAGAGTACACAGACAAGAGTTGTTACTCATACATGAAGAGGAGAGGGGGGGGAAGGTGTTAATTTTAAAATTCGAGAAAATATATATACCACAGCAAACGACCCCCAGTCGTCAAATTCCCGCTTCCAGTTCTGGATCAATGTCGCCGGACAAATAATCAAGACGACCTTGGCGCTCTTCTTCCCCGACGGCTTCTTGATATCCGCCTCTTCCTTTTCGCACCTTCCGTCCTCATCAATCGCCAATAGGGTAGGTGCTGACTGACCCTCTCCTCCTCCTCCTCCTCCTCCTCCTCCTCCTCCTCTTCGAGTGCCGGCCGCTTTCGCACGCCTTTCTCTCGTTTGCAACACTGCCTGCTCCTTCGCCGTGAGTGGAAGGAAGCCCCGACGAGCCGTCATATCTCGAACAGTACCCGTCTTCCCAAGGATCGCGGCGAGGAAGGCGATGGTCTGTATCGTCTTGCCTAGTCCCCTGCCGATGGAAGCACAATCAGAACAAGCGTCACACGCAGGATGTCACGCGCAGTAGCCAGCTTAGCAATCAATAATGAATCGCAAATCGTTCGATCAATGTGCAGCAATCGATGCATCAACCCATCAATCAATCGATCGATCCATCCATCCATCCATCCATCAATCCATCAAACAATCAAACAATTAACCCATTAATTAATCAATCAATCCATCATCGATCGATCCATCCATCCATCAATCCATCAAACAATCAAACAATTAACCCATTAATTAATCAATCAATCCATCATCGTACGTAATCCACAGATCGACAGAAACGTTTTATGCTCCTCTCCTCCTCTTTCTCACCACCCATCATTATCCCAACCACCATTATCTTCATCGGACCGTGCTGCACAGCGTGGCAATCATCATCATCATCATCATCATCGCCTGCATCATGTCACCATGCCACCATCATCAATCATCATCATCATCATCATCATCATCATCATCATCGGTTCTGCCCAACTGCTGCCGCGGAAGAGCTCATCCCTTTGGGTCGCCAAAGGCATGAGAACCTCACACGAGGGAATCAATCGATCGATCCCGCGACCCAAAGGAAATCGCATGTCGGGATCGCCTTTGGCCATGGACCCCAAGCAACCGAACTGGGGACCAAAGGAAAAGAACTGGCTTTATGTCGGGATGCAAGAAGGTTGGCGTGAAAGCGAAGGCCCGTTTGGGTATACTCCACCCCACCCATGCCAAGAAGGTTGCCTATCGGGATCGCATGTCGGGATGGAAAGCACTGATCACACCATGAGACGACGGGCAATCTGTTGCCATCAATCGCCCGTCGGGGGCACGTGAAGGGTAAAGGTTTTTTTTCTTTTTTTTTTTCTCTTTTTTTT